GGATACAACTGTTTGATCTGATTGATTTTGAAGCATACTCTACGTATGCAAATAATTCTACAATGAAAACAAATGCTCACACAAGATGGCATATAGCATAACACACTGATGTAAATAAAAAAAAGTATTAGAGTATTAGCACATAAAATGGATGTAATGTATTAAGAAAACAAAAACATTTGTTTCATCGCCCTTTTCCCTTGCTGAAAATATTTAAACCTTCCAACTAAAAAGCCCCACGGCATTTTGTTTCCACAAAACAGTATTTTCCCACTGACTCCTTCCATCATAGCAGTTTTCAAACTTCTACTTTCAGGAAATACTTTCCTCATTGGCTTGTTGACTGAGGATACACTTCCCATCGAATCTCCGGGTTCCAGTAGTTAATTTGAAAACCACCGCAAGTCTGTCATGGAACCCCTCTGTGTTGCAGAAGACTGTGGGGAACATGTTTTGAGCGCACACTCAAATAACAGAGTACTGGCCAGATGCTAGTCTGACCTCACTATTACTGCATAGGAAGTGAATATAAAACTCACTTACTCCTCTATTCAGGATGATGACTTTTTTTTTAGGGATTCAAACAAAAATCAATAGATTCCACTCCAATTCCACCTTTTCTGCAAAAGAAGAACGTAGTATACATGATACTATTCCTTTTGCCTTCACTACAGCACTGTGAGGTAAATTAAGCTAAGAGTAAGAAAAAAAATACGAACTGGCCCACGGTGACCCAGAGAGCTTTACAGCTGAACACAGATTTGAACTGGGTCTTCTACATTCTAGTGCAGAAAACTAGCTGCTACAATTTGCTGGTTCTCACTGGGTAAGTGCAGGCAAGCTCTTTTTCATGAAGGCCTGTCTGCCATTACTTACATTCGCATTGAAGGACTTCTAATAACACTTCCACAGAATCTCTCGGTTCCCAGCAATTGGCATGAAAACCACCCATCCCCAGATTAAAAGTTGTTAACAATACCCCTCAACTTCTGTATAGCTAATAGTTATTTATGCTGCGAATCAACCAGACATTGGAAAAAATGACTTTTGGACCACACCTTCCAGAAACTCAGACTTATACGTGGCCCAAGGAACATACTGATGGTGGGATCGCTGGAGGATGTCATCCCCCCCAAAAGGACTTTTCCCATCTCTGCGTCCAACATCTCTAAGGAACAGCATCCCCGTTTCCCTAGCATTTTTCTTCACTGTCAGTATAAGTAGTAGTTTAGTGTAAAAAAAATAAAAACAATTTTACAAGTCTTATGGTAAAATCTGTCAGAAAATTTTGGTAAGATCTGATTAAAAATAACTGCACTGTAACCCTATATGAAAGTTTCAGGGGTGGAAAGAGGACTTAACTAAATGACCAAAGCATCCATTTTTATTTAAACTTCTGTGAATATTAGAATAAAAAATAAATAAAAATCAAACCCTCTCGTCTTCACTATCATTTGCAGGAAGGGCCTGGAAGGGTTTTTTTTTTAAACGATACCAACTATGTTTGTATTGTTTGTCCTAACTCTGAACTGTTGTCTCTTAAATCACAGTCACAGAAAATTCAGGTAGTGCTTGTAAAAAAACTCGCTCTCAGACCTAATTCCCCTTTCAATTTTACTATACCTTTAAATTCTCCAGTGGAGATGCTCCTTATTTATACCACAATCCCATTCATGAATACTGAGAAGTAATTTCAATATAACTCACCCATCAGCTAAATAAGCTTAGGATTTTCAGACTTATGTGAGCATGCCCTCCTCCTCCAAATTCACAGCTGTACATTTCAGATTGCTTCCAACATGATCTCTTTTTTTCATTCTTCTTCCCCGGTTGGGAACCAGAAGACTATTTGTACAAGCAAAGTGTGCCTTCAAAACTTTCTCCCGACTCTTTTTGCATTCATCTTTTTCCCCCCACTCCTTCTATGCATAGCTCTAGAAAGGCTTCACTAAATGTAAGCAACTTCTGCAGAGGATAAAAGGAAATGTTCCTTCCATTGAAATGAATGGGAAAGGCCTCTGCATAAATTTTACAAAGTTAAAAAAGAAATTTTTTTTTTAAGAAAGAGAAAAGCGAATGTCTCTCTCGAGAATTTCTATGACCCTATGGGTCATAGAAATACCTGCTATGACAGACAAAACCAGTGTGAATGCCTAGAGACCAAGACAAAATGAAATTTGCCTCCTAGCCAGTCTTCGGGACGTTTTACACTGGCTCCAGACAATCCTCTCCTGATAAAACCCAGGGCTCAGATTTAGTTGAAGTCTGGCCCAAGTTCTACTCAATTGCTCCCCTATTACTTAGTTCCTTCTCTAAGCAACTCCCATCTTACCTGGAAGCAATTCTAATGTGTGAACAAGAAGAGGGAGGTTGATTCAGAGTTTGGAAATATCAATGTTAGAGCTACTGCATTAATGTCGAGTCATTAATGAAAAGTAATTCTTCAGCATTAAAATATTGAGTTGGTTTGTCAAAATTAATTTATTGATTGATTCATTAGTTAGTTGACTTGTTAAGCCTGGCCATTAATGAAAGAAAATAACAAGGCACAGTGATAATTGCTTTAACAAACAAACACAACAAAAATCTCTACACACAATGCAGTTCATTTATAATCTATAATTGCATTGATGAATCAGTGCTGAGAAAATGTAATGAATCAGAAACAATAAATTAAGTTTTAGTTAACTATTTCCAAAGTCTGTGAAAATAATGGCTGGGGAATATTTTTAGTGTATAAAAAAATCAGTGTATAAAAATAGTGTATAAATCTTTTTCCCATTTCCCACAGTCAATGAAAAGTTGCAACTGGACCTTCAAGAACTGGATGAGGTCCACCATAGAGAAAATCAGCTCTCTTTCAATAACTCTTTTTGCTGTTTTTCTTGAATTATGAGTCCACCTTGTTCCTTTATAATTGGAAATAACACTATCTGGTTCACTGGTTCTTAAATCTAAACATCCAGGCACAGTCAAGTGATCTACCACGTAAAGCAGGGAACTTAGCACTGTTTCCTCCTCTTGGGAGTGAGCAGTAAATCAGCCTTACCTAACTGGTAAAACCATGATTTAAGTGAGATTTGGCTCATCTAGCCCTTAAAGCTTTGTATTTTCTGTAAGAAAAAAAACAAAAGAAGGCCATGCATACAACTAAAAGAATATACACCTTAGGACTCCCTAACTGTAAATAATGGAAAATGCAAACATTTTGCTTGCAGACCAGTTCCCTGCCCTCTCAACAACCAATTTTATTTGCTAAGTAAGCAAAATTTTAAAAGGGGGAAAGCTCAACAATCTGCTAAAAGTAAAATCCACAACTACCTATTTTCCACTGTATACCACCCTCCCTTGCCCTATTTATCTATATATCTATAGTATTTTCTGAATCTGATATTGAACTTCATTGCTTTTGATCTTCCATTGCTCATGTTTAAAAAGTAAAAATAAACAAAATTTTAAAAGCTATCATGGTGCTGTCAGAACAGCGACTTTCAAGCAACTATTTCCCCATAAAGGTAGCATTTACAGGTATTTCAGTGATTTGTGGCCGCTCCCTCTATTGGCAATTCTCCTGACCTGTCTTTCCAGCAATCAGAGCTTGCAAACGTTATTTTGGTTTTTCAGACAATGACTCCCAGAATCCTCCAGCCAGCAGGGCAGCTGGAAGACACAAAGAGTTGAAATAACCTCCTCAAGTTCCACTAACACTGAAGCATCACTAGCCACATCTCCCCCCCAGCCACTCTCCTTCCATGTCCACGCCCCAGTGACTTCAACATTCTGTGCACTTATCCTGCATTTTTCTGAACCACTCACAACAAGAAGAGGGGAATAACTTGACTCACTGTCCAGTACTCCAGCATAGTAATCATTGCTTACCGTTCAGTCTGAAGCACAGCAAAGTGCTATGGTTCTTCCTTGCCTTGCATTTCACGTGTTAAGAGGCTTTTGTTACTTATAATGCCTTCCATAAAAAGACTATTTCTTTCAATATAAAAAGCTTTAAAATAATAGATTATAATATAAATAATAATATCAGTTAAAAATACTTAAGAATCTCAGGACGTCATCTGCATTTTGGGGAGGTGTGAATATGAAGTCCTTGATGCATTCTCAGTCCCATATTATCAGCAATTTTACTTTACATGAATATGATAGGCATGGGCAGGCGTAAAACAGATATAGTGCCTTGTCTCCCATAGAAGTAATAAGAAAAGGGCAAAGAATCTTAGCATCTTTGCCACACTGAAAAAAATATATATATATGTTGGCTTATTACCTCTCTGATAATGTGAAGCATCTGTTTCTGGCTTTCAATGTTTCATCAATAAACACATAATTACTTTTAAAAAAGATAATGAAACTACATAAAATGAACGTTGCTGCGTTCAGAAAAGTAAAATTGTTCCATATTTCTGTCCTAATTTTTTAAAGTGTTGAATATCTGTCTCGTTTTTATTTGATACAAACTAGAAGTTTATAGTTCTTCTCGTTCAAAGTAAATTAATAGTGTATATCAAACAGTAGAAATGTATTTCAAACCGCTACTTGAAAAGCCTACTTCTGTGTAAAACAAATAAACAAACAAAATGGACATATTTCTCATCACATTTGTTGTTTCATATAAAAATGGCAGCAATTAGTACCAACCTGGTCTACTTTTAAACACTGTACTTCTCTTTAAGGAAAAAAACCCAACTGTTAACTAAAACGATTTACCTGCTTTATGACTGGAAATATTTCTTATCTAGAAATTGTAAGATAGTTGGAAAAAATAGTCCTGTTTGTGCCTTTACAAGTTCAAAAGAAAAGGATCTGGAGTCCTTCAGATGATTTGGAATTTTTAAAAAGATGCTGCAATGTATTTCACACAGCATGAGTTAACTCAAACTTCAGTGATAAAGCTCAAGACTCTCCAAGCGTGTGTGTGTGTGTGTGTGTGTGTGTGTGTGTGTGTGTGTGTGTGTGTGTGTCTGTGTGTGTGTGTCTGTGTCTGTGTCTGTGTCTGTGTCTGTGTAAAAACAAGAATCTGGTACAGTTGTCATAAATACAACTGCAGAACTGCAATCAACTTTATTATGTTCATGGTTTTGGAAGCAAGCTGAATTCTGCAGTCTAAAGCTTTGCGATCAGTTCTCTCTCTCTCTCTCTCTTTGGTTAATTAAAATTATGTGTAACCAATGAGCAAAAGAGCAGATAGGTGCAAAAAGTTAAAAAGAGAGTAAGCTCTCATGTTTTCAAAACATTTCAATGTAACTATAGAGGAATAGTTATAGATATGTATAAGTAGTTCTACTTCTTAAAAATAGTTATCTCTCTATATTTTTATATATATATTTGCATATTTCATACTTGTCAGTGAGATCTAGGCAAAGATTCACTGATACAAAACAAGTCTGGCAAAAGTCAGTAATGCATTGAGGGTCGCTAGCTGAGGATCTTAAGTATGTTCTGCCTTCACTTTTGAGTGAAAGGAAATGCTGCTGCCAAGTACAAATTACAGCCAGGTATGAAAGGGCTCATTTTTGTTGAGGACTGACTCCACATCGTTGAGAATGGGGATCAGATCTTCAGACTCCAATGTCCCTAGATCAACATTTGTTCCTGGAAGACAGTCAAGGAAGTCAAGGAAACGGGATTGCGGAGGGTTGATATTCATGGCAGTCTGAGCTACATTATCTCCTGCAAAAGAAGGGAAAGGAGAATTAGTGTGACACTGACTTCTTAACCATGAGATTGTTTTGCCTATAATGAAAGAGTCCAATTAGGCACCGGTACATGTCAATCTGATTCCCTAATATGGGGACTATAATGATGGTATTGAACCCATTGGCAACAGTGACTTGTAGGGTACACCCCTTAACTTTTTGCTTTACAATGGTGATGGTGGTATTCAAGGCGAAATTTCAATCTGGCTCAGCAGTTGCAGGGCATGTGATGTTATTATGTTGACAAAACCCAGTAGATCTCATCCTGGTTAGTGTATGGAGGAGAATGCTGTCTTCATACATATCTCTTCATACATAGCCAAACACCCATGGCTCCAGAATGCTGTCTTCATACATAGCCAAACACCCATGGCTCACAGCTACAAATTAAAATAAAATAAAATAAAAACTGTGTGGACAGGGTTAATCTTCTGAGCCTTTCCATGCTAAGATATTGAGTAATGATATAGTGGGAATCACACAAAAAAAGACAATCCTGATCGTGTGTGTCCAGGTACTCCCATACTAAACAGGTATGGATGTGCACTTGTGGCATAGGATGAAGGATTCTGGTACTTGTAGGGATTTTGGCTGGGGGATTCTGGGAATAACAAGCCTGAAAAAAAACCATTTGGTCATCTTTGGCTCTCACTCACTGTGCCCAGTTCCTCCAGTGCAGTGAAAGGCTACTTCTGTCAGTACAGTGGTGTCTCGCTTTACGAATCCGCTTCACGACGAATCCGCTTTATGATCGCAAAACAATCGTCTAATGGGGGAATTTCGCTTAGCGATGATGGGTTCCCTACTTCGGGAACTGATTTTCGCTTTACGATGATCAAAAACAGCTGATCGTCGGGTTTTCAAAATGGCCACCGGGTGCTTAAAATGGCTCCCCGCTGTGCTTAGGGACGGATTCCTCGCTATACAGGCAGCGAAAATGGCTGCCGTGTGGAGGATCTTCACTGGACGGTGAGTTTTTACCCTATTGGAATGCATTGAACAGGTTTCAATGCGTTTCAATTGGGTTTTTAATTTCGCTTTACGATGTTTTTGCTTAACGACGATTTTCCTGGAACGGATTATCGTCGTTAAGTGAGACACCACTGTATGTAGTACTGGAGGAAGCTATGGGGCAATGGCATTGCTGTTAGTGCAAGGAACCATTGACTCCAGTTACCTATAGAATATGATGAAGAAGAATCTCAGAAATCACACACACAGTCCAGCCTAATTATTCCTTTGGATAAAATAAGCTCTCAGGCATGAACAAGGACTGGTGAACCCCTTCCCCCAAATAAACAACAGTGTTTTTGCTAAATATGGCACTCTTGACTGTATGGACACATTTCTCAGACACTGTCACACTCTGGATGATATTGAATAAAGTAAAAGAGCAAAAGCCAGGGCAAGAAAATATGTATTTCTGGAAGGGATGAGGAGTCTTTTACAAGATGAATGAAATATTGTCGTTATATGTGTGTGTGTGTGTGTGTGTGTCTGTGTCTGTGTCTGTGTGTGTATGTGTGTGTGTGTGTGTTTGTACAGTATATGTATATACAGTATGTATGTATGTATTGTATTAACGGATTGCTTTTTGGTTTTGTTTATGTTTTGCTTTTTCTGTAAACAAAATTAAATTTAATGATAATAGAAAACAACAGCAACACTGTCACACTCTGGATTTGTCGTAACAGCTCTTACAATAAGGCTACCCTGAGTAAGGGTGGGCACCTTCAGTGAAGAAGGCATTCCATAGGCAGGTCCTCAAATCTGTTTCAGAAGTTGTTGTTGGGCACTGGATGTGATTATCACACGTACTGACAAGGTGAAGAAGAGAGACCCTCTGATCATATGCAGAGTACTTATTCCTTACAAAAGAATCATCCAAGCTAGCCCCAGTCTACCAGGGTTTTAATGGAAAAAAATTTACCAGAGTACTCAAATTATATGGGAGAGGCAGAAGGAGTTATTCCATTTTACTTTTTGTCATGGGCCCCCTTGGCAACAGTCTTCAGAAGCATTTGGGTAAAACAGGGAAGACTCAAGAGATGCCATTTATGGGCTTCATTTAAGGCTTCCCTGAGTCTTCTCCCATAATTAGAGCACTGGCTTATAGGAAAATTTGGACCCCAAACACGTGGTCTTCTTCATTTCCTACAGAAGCATTTGCAATAGAATTACATGGTTCAGGCAAGCATAGGAAAATGATATCGGCTATCAAGCAGATAACTTGTTTTAAAAAATTAAAAGATTCTTCTTGTTCCTACCTGTATCCATCTCATCTACATTGCTGAGGAAGTCTTCAGGGGTAGTTGGTATGCTGTAACATCCTAAGCCTAGGCCACTGTCTGTGCTCTGCTCCCTGGAATGGTATGGCCCACTATGAATTGAGACATGAAGAATCCTCAGTCAAAGTTTTGTTCATCAGATTAGTTCAAAATGGGGTTTGTTTTGTTTTTGGTTTTGAGAGGGGGGGAAGGGGAGAGGGAAGAGTCCTCTAAGCCAGTGGTCCCCAACCTTGGGCTTCCAGATGTTCTTGGACTTCAACTCCCAGAAATCCTGGGCAGCAGAGGTGATGGTGAAGGCTTCTGGGAGTTGGAGTCCAAGAACATCTGGAGGCCCAAGGTTGGGGACCACTGCTCTAAGCAGCTAGATCCAATCCTTAATTAGGTCTGGAACTAATTTGCAGGTTTAGGGGGGGTTGCCATGTCAGGCTGAAATCAGTTGCCCAACAAAGAATGTGGTAATCTAGAGAGCAGAACTTTAAAAAAAAAAAGGATAACAAAGTAGAACATGCTAGACCTCACAGTGCAAGGAGGTGCGGAGAGTGAACTGAAGTCTCCAAAACCAAACTACGGAGAGAGACCATAGCTCAGTGCAAAGCACTTGGGTGTAATCCCCACAAACATCATGATTATTGTACTGTTTTTTAATGGATCAAGCAGCAGGCGGTGGGAATAGCTCTTTGCCCAAACCCCACAAAATGTGCTCCGAGACAGTTCCACACTAGATGTGGAAGTTTTCTACTTCTCAGTGGTCGTAGGCAAGTGTAAAAAAAAAATTATCATTTTGGACTGTGACTCTTGGGATCCTGCAATGTTCCTGCCGGCTCAGGGATTTTGGAAGCTGCAGATTAAAAAAATAACGCCACCCTCCCATTCCTGGTTGGGGAGAAGGTCTCAGTGCATTCCAATGACAGTTTCCCAGGCTTATATTCTGACCCCCTAATTACCTGCCACCCAGTTATGCTGTCAATATCCTTGCCTACTCAATACCATCTGCCACCCTTTTTTTTTTACAATGAATTATAACCTCACCACTAAGCCATGCTCTTAGAAGAAAGGAATATATATTATTTTCTCATAGATCACTATTTTTACACAGGGGGCATCCATATGTTAATTTGCAGGGTTTAATTAAGTTTGCATCCATGGCCCTCCTGGCATCAATTACGGCTTTTGTACAGGTAGCATTCTACACAGAACCACAGTGTTAATTATAAGATAATGAAAATTATCTCTGTGCTGCTGCACCACACTTTCACTAAAGCCAAATGATGCCAATTATTCCAAATTATATAGCTGTGCCACCCCTGTAAGCCTAAATTCTGTTACACAAAAAATCTTTTTCAGGTTTATGTCAGTTTCATGTCCTATACTCACATTAGTTTATTCTTAAATTACAAATCATTCTGGCCAATTCCACACACACAACTATAGGGAGCACGTAAGAGACAATAAAATGTTTTGTAGGCCCTATTCAGGCATTATAAATGCATTTGTAATGCTTGATGAGGACTACAGAAAGCTCAATTGCTCATTTAATTAAAATGTGCACATCATGTAGGCCAAGCTGCTGTTCCTCCTTCTTTCCCCAGTCTAAAATTTAAAAGCCAAATGCTTCTGCTTAAAAATCATTTGTTGTATCTTAGAAGTAGGCAATCTGGGTGCTTTTCAGATGTTCTAGATTACAACCCCAAAACCTCTAAATAATATGGCCAATGGTAAGGGATTATGGACTTTGCAATCTAAAACATCCAGTGGCCCAAGGTTGTCTCATTTTGTTCTAAGAGGTAAGAGAATTTCAACAGTGGCTTGTGCTACAAAATATAAAATGGCTGGTGAGCAACAGTGTACTTGCCTGTTCAGGAAGGGATCCGACCCATTATTTGTTATAGATCTCATGTCTTGTGTCATGTTAGGTGTGCTCACAGCAGTCTGAACTGGAGCCAGGCTCTCAGAATCCATAGGAAGTTGTCTGTACAAATCAGCTTCCTAAAGTGAAACATGAATACATACTGTCAGTGCTAGGCCACGCATGGGCAGCCAGGAACACAGGGTGCTGGAGGCATGAATCTTATCTATAACCCATTCCTCCCGGCTTACCAGGAACAGTCCCTCATTTTGTGGAACCTGCCCAAAGAAAATCACTGCCCTGTTCTGCCTGGGCAGAGGGAACCTTTTATACATAGTTGATGTTCATATGTATGGCTAGAATTCTTCAGGTTTCAATCTCTTCCTCTAATCTTTCCTCCAAACTGAAGCCCCTCCAGATGCATTAAGTTGCAGTTTACATAATTTCCAGCCACCATAGCCATTGGTGGTACTGGCTGGTTATGATGGGAAGTACAGTCCAACACACTTTGGAGTGCTAGGTTGAGAAAGGCTAGCTGAAATGTTACATATTCAAGTGCAAGAATCACCACATTTCAGCTCTGTTGTAAAAACATGTTAATGGAGGCACACAGACACAAGAATGCCAGTACAGTCGTGCCCCGCTTAACGATTACCCTGTATAACGACGAATCTGCTTCACGATGATGTTTTTGCGATCGTAATTGCAAAACGATGTTTTAATGGGGTTTTTCGCTTTGCGATGATCGGTTCCCTGCTTCGGGAACTGATTCTGCGCATTATGACGATCAAAACAGCTGATCGTCAGGTTTTCAAAATGGCTGCCGACTGCCCAAAATGGCTCCCCGCTGTGTTTTTGGATGGATTCCTCACTATACAGGCACCGAAAATGGCCACCCCTATGGAGGATCTTCCCTGGACTGTGAGTTATTCAGCCCATTGGAACACATTGAACAGTTTTCAATGCATTTCAATGGGCTTTTTTATTTCACTTTACGACGTTTTCGCTCTACAGCAATTTCGCTGGAACAAATTAACATAATCAAGCGAGGCACCACTGTATAATGCCTTACTTTTCATCCTCCACCCCAATTACGTTATTGAATGCATTTGTACTGCAGCTATTCTAAAATGAGTGCAGCCAGATCCCTTGTAAAATTAAATTTGTTTTAAAGAGACACCCACTTTTTTTAAAAAGGCAAAAGCAAACTTTACAGGACTTTATGAACATACATATCTTTTGATTTTAGCACAAGATAAGCTATTGCAGAATAAAGGAGCCCAATCATATTATAAGAAAAGCTGAAAACAACATTTAATGGTGCATGGGGAAATAAGTCTGTTGGGGAGAGAAGTGATATTTATGTATCTGAATGCATAACAAATATTCTATTTCATTTTGTGAAACACTGGAAGAGGGTTACAGTTTCCAGCAAAAATGGACCAGAGTTCAGAGAGAAAGATTAAGCAGATCTAGAAACCAATCTGTGCAAGACATCAAGGAACAGGTAAAAAAACTGAGAAGAGTAGGGACTTTGAAAACACACAGAAAGCCTTGAAAGCACAGATAGAATCTGACTTGGAAACGTTTGATTTGGTCAGCCAAGACAACCCAACAGTGTAGAGAAGAGGTGGTTATGGTTGTCCAGACCTTGTAGGACAAGTCCCATCATCCCTCACAACTGGCTGAGCTGGCCAAAGGCTAAGTGGAACTGAGATCAAAAAACATGTGGAGGACAACATTTTGTTCATCTCTACAATAGACTATCAATGGACAGATTGTCCAAGGATGATCACACAGCTGTTGAGCCTGTTCTACATGGCTTTGTATAGTTTAGTCAATGCATGAAACAAAGGAACAGAGATGGGGGGCAGGAGATTCAGGTTCCTTGTGAAATATATACCCAAAATTAGGAAGTTCAGAACTTTGCATGCCATTTAAAAGTCTGTAGGAACATATTTACATGTTACCATTTTGTGATCATTTCTTAATTAGAAACTGCTCACAAGATGCAAAGACTGAAAAAGTTTCCTTTTTTTGACCATATATTCAACTGTCCCTCAGCAATCATGGTCAGCAGCCACACTGGGTGGGGCATTTTGGGATCGAGAGTTCAAGAAGTAACTTTTCAAGTTTTTGAGAAGAAAGTGAAAACAGTTGAAAGTTGGGATAATTCTTGTAATGATCTAGGAGGCTCAAAACATTTTGCAGTAAAGTCATACAAGAATATCTTTAAGAGCTCTGTCCCTCTAGTGGCTGCTCTGTCACCTTGCCCTAATGATTATATCCTGAAGCTAAACTTGATGTACTGTAGTGTGAAAATGTAATGGGAAACTTGCAGGGAGAAAGTGTAATTGGCAGCCCGCCATCAGGGGTATAAACAAGTGTCTTGGGGTAGACTTTTTGTCATCTTTATTTTTGATTTGGGTACACAATATATTGAATTCAGACTCATGGTTCATCAACTTTGATGGATCACAAAGCAATTTGTCCCTGTCGTTATTCAAAATACATAGGCTTCTTAAGGATTCTCTCAGAGAACCAATCTAAAGTACTCACATTTTCCCTTTGATTCAAAATGTGAATTTCAAGTGCCTCTCTTTTATAGCTACTTCTAACTGGAGCTGATTTAAGAGAAAAGCAGAAATATCCTGGTACAAATATATAACTGCATATATTATTTGTCTCAATGCATGAATTCATTGAGAATTCAAGACTTGAAGCAGTTAACCATTTGTACTCAGAAACTAGTAACCTGATACAGCGGATGGCAGGATTATTTATGTACAGCTTTCTATTTTATTTTCTGTGCTTCATTATGAATATAATCACTAATTATAGATAGAATAAGAACAGAGAATTTCTCTACAAGTAGAAGCAGAGAAGTGACTTTTCCCAACCTGACAGTGACACCTAGTGGACAAAAAGAGTGATGCAAAAGATACAGTCCCTATAGAAAATGCTAAAGTGGCTTGGTTCATAGGCAGTTGAGGAAGGTCTTTACTCTCTGTCAGCCGTCTACACAGCTGATTACTTACTGACCTAGCCATAGCTCTCAGTACAATGTTAAAACTGCACAGAATAACAGCATGGCATTTTTAAATACAAATGTGTTCTGCTTGTGCCTAATCTACCAGCACCTCCTCCTGCATAAACCAAAATGAAAGCAACAGAAGTGATGCAAGAATTCATATTATAATCTTCCGCAGCTCACATTTCTTTCAACCAAGCTTATTCCTGGTTGACTGTACCCAGTTCTAATGCATAAAGGGGAAACACATTGGAAGTAGCTTCAAACAGCACAATTCATCTTGCTGCTGTTGTTTGTCCACTTGACTCTGGAATACAACATTCTTCTCTTAGAGTGACTGGCTGTGGAGACAGGGTCAGCTGGTAGATTCCCCTCTGTGTCTCCTAGGAAAAAAGCCACACTGTGTGGGGCCCCGGGCAAGCTGCACAGCCCCACAGCACCCCAAGAAGAAGGGGCTGGTAAACTACAGTGGTGCCCCGCTAGACGCTTACCCCATTAAATGACGAAATCGCTTGACAATGCCTTCTTTGCAATCACTATAGCGATTGCAAAACAATGTTTCCTATGGTTTTTTTTCATTTAACAACGATTAGGTCCCTGCTTCGCAAGACGACCGATTGTTCGCAAGACGACGATTTAAAACAGCTGATCGGCGGTTTGCAAAATGGCTCCCCACTGTTTTCCGGACCTATTTCCACAAGACAGGGACCACAAAATGGCCGCCCTATGGAGGATCTTTGCTGCACGAGCAGGTATTCCCCCCATTGGAACGCATTAACCGGTTTTCAATGCATTCCAATTGGGTTTTTATTTTCGCATGACGACGTGGCACCTTAGAGACTAGTAAATTGGGGGGGGGGAATGACAAGCTTTTGTAGATTGTAGCCTACGTGATGTGATGCATTAGATAAAGAAGGTTCTAGCCCACAGAAGCTTGGAGAAAGCCTGAGAGTCCTGGAGGATTTCCACAGTTTGCAGAAACACAGAAAATAATCTATAAGTTGAAACAAAGGTTGAACAAAGGGAGAAGCTCAGAAGAAATCTAATGAGCGCTGAGCTTGCTCAAATCAGCATGTAATCCTAGCAGGTCAGAAATTGATTAAATGGAGGCTCTTGGGAAGGGGTGGTCACAGCTACAGTCCTCAACAGGAGCACTCCACACTGCAACCTTCTGGTGCAAGTCCAAAATGGGAAGCAGAAATACTGATTCTTACACTCAGATGTCTCTATAAAAGTATCCATAAACATACACAATATACTCCCAATGGCTTTACCGGAAAGTAAAAGCAATTATTTTTATAGTCCTAGCTGAGAGTGCCAAATGAACTCAGATAACATCCTAACCTAGGCTGGCTTCCCATTTCAGCTCCAGAAGCAGCATCATTAGATTGCCAGGGTGACAAGTGACTGGATCAGCAACAGGAAATGGCCAATGGTATTAAATTGCAAGTACATGCTGTAATATTTACTGCAAGTTTACTATGTGTGGTAAGACCCATGGACTCTGGCAAAGCCATCAGTCTTGACCGACTTCCCTCTGTATTGGAAGGAAAGTATCTGAGAAGGAAGCAAAAACAACCTTAATTGCTTGATAACTTACTTGCTGTTGAAGTTGTAAACATACGGAAATCAAATGTACTGCATACATATCCAGTATTCATGTACCATATTGCAGTTTTGTGTTGATTTTGTTATTGCGAACAAGTAGCACTTAGATGGGCAACATAGGTACAAGAAACATAAGACAACCATGGACTTGCTAGGGAGCGTAACACACCAGTGAATACTAGGGACAACCCCAGGTGACACTAGAAACGGTCACATGACTTTTTAGGTAAAGGTTAAAGGTTCCCCTTGACAATTTTTGTCCAGTCGTGTTCGACTCTAGGGGGCAGTGCTCATCCCTGTTTCCAAGCCATAGAGCCAGCGTTTGTCCGAAGACAATCTTCCGTGGTCACATGGCCAGTGCGACTTAAGACACGGAACGCTGTTACCTTCCCACCGAAGTGGTCCCTATTTATCTACTTGCATTTGCATGCTTTCGAACCGCTAGGTTGGCGGGAGCTGGGACAAGCAACGAGAGCTCACTCCGTCGCGTGGATTCGATCT